CTCCTAATGTTATCCCTCCCCAATCCCCTCACCTCCTGATATCCCTCTCTTAGCCCCTCCATCCCCCAACATGCCCCAGTGTGTGATGTTCCCCTCCCTGTGTCCATATGTTCTCATTGTTCAACATTCACTTATGAGTCAGAACATGAAGTGTTTGGTTTTCTGCTCTTGTGTCAGTTTGTTGAGAGTGATGCTTTCCAGCTTCATCCATGTCCCTGCAAAGGACATGAACGCATCCTTTTTTATGGCTGCATAGTAGTCCATGCTATACATGTGCCACATTTTCTTTATCCAGTCTATCATTGAGGGGCATTTGGGTTGGTTCCAAGTCTTTGCTATTGTAAACAGTGCCACAGTGAGCATACATGTGCATGTGTCTTTATAATAGAACGATTTATAATCCTTTGGGTATGTATCCAGTAATGGAATCGCCGGGCCAAATGGTATTTCTATTTCTAGATCCTTGAGGAATTGCCATACTGCCTTCCACAATGGTTGAACTAATTTACACTCCCACCAACAGTGTAAAAGCGTTCCTTTCTCCACATCCTCTCCAGCATTTGTTGTCTCCAGATTTTTTAATGATCGCCATTCCAACTGGTGTGAGATGGGATCTCAAGGTGGTTTTGATTTGCATTTCTCTAATGACCTGTGATGGTGAGCAACAAAGTAACTGTTAATGTATCAGTGTAACAATTAGTTGATGAATTTATTTGAGACTGAGCCTTTCTCTGTTGCCCAGGCTGGAGTGCAGTGGCACAATCTTGCCTCATTGCAACCTCTACCTTCCAGGTTCAAGCAGTTCTCCTGCCTTAGCCTTTTGGGTAGCTGGGACTACGGGAGTGTGCCACCATGCCTGGCTAATTTTTGTAGTTTTAGTAGAGATGGGGTTTCCCCATGTTGGCCAGGTTGGTCTTGAACTCCTGACCTCAAGTAATGTCTGCCTCAGCCTCCCAAAGTACTGGGATTACAGGTCTGAGCCACTGTGCCCAGCCCTCAATGTAACACATTTAAATTGTTAAAATGTGTAAGAGAATATAATATATTGGCAAAAAGTGCACATTTAACATAATTTACTTTCAAATAAATACTATTTATGTTTGAAATAGAGCCATAGTTTACTCAAAAATGGTGGTGTGCAGATTTTGGCCTTTTTTATTTTTAGTTGACACATAATTGTACATATTTATGGAGTACAGAATGACATTTTAATACATGTATACAATATGTGATGATCAAATCAGGGAACTTAGCAAATCCATCATGATACCTTCTTCAATAAATGATTCTGGGCTAGTCCTCTCTTTCTCACAATATACAAACCCAACTCAAAATGGATTAACGACCTGAAACCATAAAATTACTGGAGGAAAACATGGGGGAATTACTTTGTGACATTGGTCTAGGCAAAGGTTTTATGGGTAAGACTTCAAAAGTGCAGATTTTTGACTTTTGTCTATTTATGTGAAAGAGGCAAATCTTGAGAACTGAAGAAGGCCTTAAAGTAGCAGAACAAAGGAAATGAATGGTGTATAGATTCGGCATTCTTTGTAGGGTTGTATAGATGTTAAAAGGTAACTGAGCAGAGGATCTAAGGGGGTTAAAAAGGATTAAAAACTTCCTGGTCTCATTAGACATAACTTTTACCAATCTGTTTTCTGTTTTAGTTTCTGTGATATTGTCAGTAAGTTCTGCTCCATTAAATCGTTTGTGTTTATCATCTTGATGGATTCTGAAAAACACTGGCTAACTTCTCTGCTTTTCTTGCTTTGCTATATATAGTTTTCACTGTGGAGCAATTACTTTCATTGTTACCAAAAAAGACACCTGCAGGATGATTGAGCAAGAAGAAACAGGGCTGTGGTGGCTGAGATCTTAAACCAAAAAAGAGCAAGGGTTGATAAAACATATTTTATCTTAAGAACTTGTCAACATTACAGAAATTTTCAGTCCAAAGCTATAGTATTTTTTTCTCATTATAGAAGTGGTAGGCAAAAGCCCTTCAGTGAAGGAAGGTTCCTGGAGAGGAGAGAGCCACCACATCACTTCTCAATTCTATTCTTACGTTGTGCCGACACCATCAGCACCAGCAGCTGTAATGGGTGTGTGTAAACAGGGACCTGTCTCTGCAGAGACCTGGCTTCCCATGAGACCATATGCAGTAGACATTTAGTTAGGGCTTAATAAACATTGATTATGGAATGACTTGACTCAACACTTGTAAGTATTTTGAGTACTTATTAATGTCTTGAAATGTCTTCCTCTTTGACTAGTGGGAACCTAAGATATTACAGTTATGAGAGATGAAGTTGTATAACTGAAGTCTTCCATATTTATTTAGCCTATCAAAAATGATTTCATTTAAAAGAACCTAAGGGCACACTGAGAAAGTTAACTTGTGTAGAACTTACTTTGCTGCTATGTTCCAAGAATTTAGGTAATGTTTAATTATATAAAATTAATTCTATTTAATTATATGAAATCATGATGTTAACCCTGAGTCCTGTTCCTGCTTTTGATAAAATTTAAGCCAAATATCAAAAGCCATGTACATAAAACATATTGTTCCAAACTGTTCTCATAAAATGTTTTCTGTTTACCTGCCAAGAGTTATAAAAAAAGAAAGATAAAAATTGTTTTGTCTGCCATTCTTTCTGCACTCATTTACATGTCCCAAGGAGTCACACATTTCTGTTTGTTAGCAAGGTTGTCTCTGGTGCTTTTTATGAAAATATTGATAGGGAATTGCTGGCCCCAAAGATGGGCAAGCACACAGGTATATGAATACCTTCCTCTCAGAATCAGTCCCAAATAAGCAGTGGCTCTGCATGTCTGAGCTTCTAGTCAGAAAAGTCAACGACTTGGGACTTGGGGGCATTTCTCCGATGGCCTGCAACAAGGCCAGCTTTTTTTTTTTCCCAGTTAGAAAAAGTGTTGATGAGATCTCAGTAATAAAAATGAATGAACTATTGGTAGGTGCAACAACATGGGTGAATCTTAAAATAAGCATGGTAAAAAAAGCCAGAAAAAAAGGCGTACATCCTGTATGATTTCATTTTTATAAAATTCTAGGAAACACAAACTCATCTGTAGTGACAGAAGAAATCAGTGGTTGCCTGAGGATGTGGGGAGTCAGGAGAAGAGTGGGGCAGTGGGCAGGTGGGTAGGATTACAAAGAGGGATGAGAAGAGTCTGGGAGGTGATGGCTGTGTTCATTATCTTGATTATCATGACAGTATCATGGGTGCATACTATGTCAACATTTATCACGTTGCATACCTTGTATTTGTGCACTTTAATGTTGTCTATTATACCACATAGAAAATAAGAGGGGGAAATACTGTATTACTGTTGTAAACAGAAATCAGTTGACACTTGTCATAGACAGCAGGTAAGAAGGAAAATAAATGCAATTAAAATAGAACAATTGAAGAAAATTCTGCCTTCTCCTGTGGAATCTAGGGCATAGGAAAGCCCCCTGTGTTTGATAATTACACTCTTATCTGATGTTTGACTCTCAAAATATCTTTTTTGATGGGCAGGCAATTATGTTTTTATTGTCAAGAGCTGGGTTTTGGGGCTGAGTGCGGTGGCTCATGCCTGTAGTCCCAGCACTTTGGGAGTTCAAATCAGGAGGATTGCTTGAGGCTGGAAGTTCAAGACCAGCCTGGTCAACACAGCGAGACCTTGTCTCTAAAGTAGAGAAATTAGAGAAATTAGCCAGACATGGTGACACTTGTTTGTAGACCCAGCTACTCAGTGGCTGAGCCAAGAGGATTGCTTGAGCCCAGGAGTTTGCAGTTACAATGAGCTATGATTGTGGTGCCATGCACCCTAGCCTGGTGACAGAGTGATATCCTATCAACAAAACAAAACAAACCAACAAGAGCAGGGGATATGGAGTTTGGCAGACTTGGGTTTGGCCCAGTGGCCCAGTCATCTGCTAGCTGTGGGACTTCGGGCAAGACATTGCCCTTTTATTCCGTCGAATCTGTGAAATGGGTTAGCAGAAGCATAGTAAGTCCTCAATAGATGCAAGCCATTTTTGTTATTTTTATTTATTTCACATTGTGATGCCCGCAAGATTTAAAATGCAGGTCGTTTGGGGTGAGAAAATATAGTATTTTAAATTCACAAGGGGGCTGTTCATGTTACCAAGAAGAATCAAGTCCTTTAGCAAAGTGTTGCCTAAAAAAACAAGAGGTCAGCACAGGAAAGGAAAGGAACACAGGGACAGGAACATCGGATTTGTCAAAATGCCCACTGTTTTCTGTGTTTTTCTCAGTGGGCATTGAGCTCCTAGGTGACCCTCTTGTATGGTTTCTCTGCTTTTAGTGACCTCTGCTCTTTGCAGGTTTTAATTGTTATGAATTCATTAGTCTTTTCTCTTGTTAAATAATAATGCCATTGCTTAAAATATTGCACTTTCTCTCAAAAGTGCTGTATTTATGTATGCTTATTTAGAAATTCATTCTGGCATTTAGCATGTATTTTTTGTCATTCATCTCTAAGAAAAATGTTGGACTTTTAAAATGTTTTACTTAAAACTGACTGATAGATTTGGTTTAATCGGACTTTTTAGTAGCTTTATAAACTTAAAAATAATATATATATATATTTATGGAAGTAAAGTTGATCAGTTTATCTTAAATTGGTCATACTGTTGATTTATAAGTTTAGAGGAAAATATAATTTCTTTTACTCTGAAGTAATGTTGTTTTCCTGTATAGAAACTAAGAGAATTACTTGGCTTCCGATGATCTTTGCCTAGTTTTTTCTTCTGCCAACTGGTGGCAGGGATTTGACAAGTGATTGATTTGGTTTCAGAGGGTCCTGGAATTACACAAATTGTTTTTGATATTGGAGAAGACATGTCCAGTTTTTCACAAGTTTTAAGATTTATTGCCTCACCCTAACATGTTGTAAATTAGTTTGTTTGCTATTTATTTTACTCAGAATGTAGTAATTGGCGTCATTAGTGTAAGGGTAAATTTGATCAGAAGAAAGGGCAGACAGCTATTTAACTCTATTTATTTGTTTCTTTGCCAACTTTGCAGGGCTGGAGATAAGATGGGTAGACTGCTATTTTCCTTTTACGCATCCTTCCTTTGAGATGGAGATCCACTTCCATGGAGAATGGCTGGAAGTTCTTGGCTGCGGGGTGATGGAGCAACAACTGGTCAATTCAGGTAGAAAAGAATCCCACATTTTATTTACACTTACGCTAAAGGAATCCTGTCTTCTCAGGCAGCCCCACTGCACACTTGCACGTATTTACATCCTTCTGTGGGGCAGCAGCAACATTGTTCTCTCTTGAGATTCCCCTCTAGATTTGTCTTTGATACTAAGCCCTGGAAAAACTATTTCTCACATCTCTATTTGCAAAGGCTCTTTGTCTTTGGAGATCCTCCTTGTCAGCACTTGGCTGCTGGATTTGCACTTTGTGATTTCGTATGTGTTGATATGTGGCTTTGTAATTGCCCCAAAGGCATTTGGTGCTTGTCACAGAAGTGTAGTTTGTCTTTCAGACTATTTAAGAACAAAACAATGCATAATCTATTTTTGTTCTTATTGCACTTAGTATAGTGCCTGAAATTCAGCAAGTATTTTATAAATGCTTAATCCATCACCTCCCTCTGCATAGGCAGTGCCACCTGACTACAAGAAATTGGAAAGACAAGGGTGCTGATGAATTCTACCCACATCTATGGGTATTTCAGAAAGATCTGCCTGTCTCTTTTCTGTAAGACTATTGATTAATAAAAACGATTGCTCCTAAACATAATTTCAGAGCTGTGAGGTTTTCTTTTTAAGTCACTATCTGAATTTAATTTTTTAAGTGCCTATCTGAATTTAGTATTTTTTCAAAGCCCCTATCTGAATTTAATTAAAAAATATTTTTGGGGGTCTGGTGTCGTGGCTTGCACCTGTAATCCCAGCACTTTAGGAGGCTGTGGCAGGCGGATCACCTCAGATCAGAAGTTCCAGACCTGTCTGGCCAACATGGCGAAATCCTGTCTCTACTAAAAATATAAAAATCAGCTGAGCATGGTGGTACACCTGTAATGCCAGCTACTGAAGAGGCTGAAGCATAAGAATCACTTGAACCTGGGAGGCAGAGGTTGCATTGAGTCAGTATGGCTACACTCCAGCCAGCCTGGCAAAAGAGCAACACTCTGTCTAAAACAAAACAAAACAAAACAAAAATTATATGTATCTAAATACCTATGTAACTATTTTAGTTATATAGGTATATAACTAAATAACTAAATTACCTATATAACTAAATATAACTAAATTATATATATACCTATATAAATTATATAACTATATTCAGAGTATAAATCCTATATATGGTTATACAGATACACAGATACATATATTCAGAGTATAAATCCTCCAAAAAAAGGGGGGAAGTTGGTTTGGATTGGGCATTTGAGCTCACTGCATAAGCAGTGAGCACCAAATAGGATAGGAACTGATGTGGATTGTTCTGGACACCTTTTCAGCTCTGCTGCCTTAGAAGGACATTTGCTGCCTGGCTTTGGAGGGCAGCTCTGACTCAGGGTTTGCTGTGTGGCTTCTTGTAGCAGAATGAAGAGAGGTCCTTCTTGGTAACTAAGAAATGTTAACAGACCATAGGTAAGGACATGATACCTCGTCATGGGCTTGGAACATGTGGATGAGCAGAGAGTGACAAGAAGAGAGGTTGTGTGAAATGCAGGAGCTTGTGTTACCTGGGCTGGGAGACTGGAAGCGTGGCCTTCCCTTCTGGCTCTTAGGTACTCTCCATCCGCAGAGGCCTGGACTCCACCAGCTCCCAGATTCCTCGTCATCCTGCTGAGGAAGCCTCGGGGGAAAACCCAGCATAGGACCGGAGGCTCTGTGGGCAGTGTTCAAATAGATGAAAAGAGGAGAAAGAGCACAGGACATGAAATTAGGACCTGGGAGGAGAAGTTGTAAGGCCTGGGCCTGGGTTCTGGAAACCCAGGGTTTTGTCACAACTCTGTTATGTATCTTCAGGCAAGGTTCATCACCCCATGAGTCTTAGCTTTCTCATGGTTAAGATGGGTGCAAGGATACACCCTCAGAGTTCCATCATGGGGACTGATTGAGAGGATTCCTCTAAAGTGCTTAGCAAAGGGTCCACCACACAGTGAACGTTCAGTAAAAATTGCTGATGTTGTTACGTTTAAAATTTTCTAATGGTTAGAGCTATTTATCAACAGAGGGTCCCCTTAGTAGGAAATATTTAAACAGATGCTGTTCCTGTGTGTCATAGAAACAATTTCTAACCAAGTGGAATTTGTTACTTCTTTGACCTGTAGTAATGTCTGTGTCTGTGATTTCATATCGAGTGAGTGATTTTACAGGGAAAAAGAAAAGTAAGAGTAATAAGAAACAGGAAGAAAAGGAAAATCAGCCTAGTATAATAGCATCTCGACAGAAAACACAAACTACTGAGCACGAATATGAAAGACTTAATCCCTCCCTGAGTAGGAGCTAACTTCAAATATCTCTGTAGTGTTTTTATAGTTTTGCTTTTTAGAAAAAGATTTGAATGAATCCTAGGCTTCCTCCCAGGAGTGCCTGATATCAGGGCGCTGGAGCTCAGAAAGCAAACCAGGGATGATCAGCTTACACATCAGTTGTCATTTGGAATTGATCATGCTTCCTTGCACGGTTTCCAATATCCTTGATGGGTTTTTATGAGGTTTATTCACACAGTAATTGGCTGAATATCATTATCTGAAACAGGTTTCTAAATCATTATTGCACATTAATGAGGCTGTTGTTCTACAATTAGATTAGCCATGTTAGGTATTCTTGAATAGAATGGCAAAGTGAAAAAGACATTTACGTTGTAAATATGTTTCAGAGATTCACAGTGATGGTAGGATGTGCTTTGACTTTTGGGGAAACTGTACACATAAAATTTTATTTACTTACTTATTTTTGAGACAGAGTCCGCTCTGTCACCCAGGCTGGAGTGAAGTGACACCATCTCAGCCCATAGCAACCCCCGTGCCCCAGGTTCAAGTGATTCTCCTGCCTCAGCCTCCTGAGTAGCTGGGATTATAGGTGCCTACCACCACACCCTGCTAATTTTTGTATTTTTGGTAGAGATGGGTATTTGCCATGTTGGCCAGGCTGGTCTCGAACTGCTGACCTCAGGTGATCTACTCACCTTAGCTTTCGAAAGTGCTAGGATTACAGGCTTGAGTCACCACGCCCAGTCATAAAATTTAAAGTAAACATTTCACAAGAGAGGGAAACTAAAGAAATAGAAGAGACGATTTTATAGATGAGATCTTGCCTAGACTTTGCTACTTGAATTTGAAGTTATTATGACAATGTTCTGCTCTGTGTTCTTAAATTTGAAGGTGTTTGGATGTCTGTGGTTAAAATTTTTAAACTGCCTGGCAGTCACTAACCACAGACATTTGCAAGTGCAGCTGATTTTCTGTTTTCTGAGTTCTTATGGTGTGGAGAAAGACTGGCTATGTGTACTTTATCCTGCTCATTCAGTTTTGCTATTCTTTCTATCTCTTCTACATTTGCTTCCCTGCTCTCCCTTCCTTTTTCCTCCCTGCCCCTCCTTTCCCCTCTCTTTACTTTTCTTCATTTCCTTCTCTTTTAAAAGAGAACTTCCAAGAAACTATATAATTGATGACTCCCCTTTAAGGTTCTTACAAAGAATCAGGTGAGTGCTAAAATAACCAGAAAATGAAGAAGCTGATGGAGCAATGATAGTGGCAGACATCGGTTGAGCCCTTCCTATGTGCCAGCATCCCATAAAGCATGCTTTATATGCTTTCTTTCGTTTAACCATGATATCAAGGCTCCAAGGTAGATGCTATTCTAACCTGCATTTTACAGAGCCAGAGAAAGGTAATTTAGATCAAATAGCTGGACAGTGCTAGTGAAACTTGCCCAAGTCTTTCTAACAACAGTTGACTAATAAGCTGTGCTCCCCAAATAGTAAATTTTATGATTTTGAAGTTGCTAAAAATTCATTTCAAATAAATCATTCCACCTAACATAGAAATAAAAGAACTGAAACAAAGCGAAACAAATACACAGCAAACAAAACTTTATTTGTTCTGCAGTTACCTCTAAGGAAGGGCTGTGCCACCACGCATGTTCTCTCCCTGTGACAGAGTGCATTTAATTAAAGCGTGACATTAGATTGTTAATGTAAACAGTCAGTGAAAACATTTTATTACACATTTAAGCGACTGTGGCATATATGTGTTTTTATGTGTGGAATTCTGCTCTTTGAAATGGCTTATAGCATTTTACTTTATTTCTTCTTCCTTAAATCAGTGTCTTCACCATTGCTTTCAGACTCCTTAGTCTGAGTGATGGTGATGTGAGCGGTGACCATTTGCAGGCTGACTTGATTGTGTTTTCCTCAGGGAGGTATTTTGGGGACAGTACTGAGTCACGTCCCTAAATACTACACACTTACCTCCCACTGGGTTGACTCAGGCTGCTGTGTCTTTTCACATAGTAAATGGAGCACCAGCATCCAAAACCATCACTGGGGCAACTATGGACCGTGATCAGGCCAGGAAGGGATTTGCCATTCCTTGCCCCTGTGAGGTTTAGAAGATTTTACATGGCCCAAGAGAGAGAAGAAGCTTGATAGTAGAAAATATGTTTTTAAAAATGAAATTTCCTTTCGTACCTTTTTGTCTAAATTTAAAAAGTGGCTCTTTTTGGAAAACCTTATAAATAGGTACACAAACACTTTTGGGTTTTAAAGGATTATTATTTGCTTGCTTATCAAATATTTCTTGAAGTCCTCCTAAGGCTGTAGCGAAGTGAATAAGCATTGCTCCTGCTTTTGAAAACATCACAGTGCACACAAACATATAAACAAATGATTACAGTACCATGTGGTAAGTATTCATAACAGGGGTACCTTGGGCAGAATGTGTGGGGAAGAGAAGGTGGTGCCAGGCCTTTCCCTGGTTGCATTCAGGATAGAATACGGATGTGATAGGTATTTGAAATGTGCATCCCAGAGTTGGTTAGGTTCTTGTTTGCAAGGAGGGATATACTTTTTCTTTGTTTTTCCTATATTAGCATGAATCTGTTTCCAGTCTGTCCCACTCTCTGGGCTATAGCCTTTACACATGCTTAACATGGTTCAGTGTTGTTGATCTAAGTTGGTGAATTTGTA